CTAACAGACACTATGATGACCAGAAGCTCCAGGAGTACACACAGACCATAGTAAGATTCACACACACACACACACACACACACACACACACACACACACACACACACACAGTTCCTTTATGCATCCATTCTATTAGCAATGGAGCCATAAGAAATGACCACCATCTCGTTGAAATAATGAGTTCGTATTAGTTTTCTTTGTGATAGCTTAGGATTGATAAATGGTTAAGTCTTTTAACATTCATACTGGCAGTGTGCAGGTGAAGATGCTATGGCTGTGCTGTACCTAATGGCTCTATCAGCGCAGAGATGAAAAGATGTTGCCAGATATAAATAGAGTGACTGGGGTAGATTCAGAAGACTTCCTTAGAGAGGAATAGGGAATTAGGTGCTGGCTGCATACATTACACCAAGAGCTTTGCGTGGGCTTGGTCGTCTTCACTTCACACAAGTATTGTGACTCACTGCTCTCCATTATTATTCACCATAAATCCATCCTACATAGCTACTACGCCACAAACGCAGAGCTGTTATACTATGTGTGGCTTGATCCCAGGGCAGCAATTTTACAGACTTGTTATTTACCATTCAGTGTAGGATATTTGTCAAGGAAATTGTGTAGGTCTTACATTACTCCCAGGCCTAATTAAATTAAAATCTGTCTGCCAGATTTACTGCTATAAGCAAATCTCATCCCACGCATTCTGGATGGACACCACACACAGTAAACATTATCAAGGTTAACTTGTAATGAAATCCTCTCCAATTAGCCATTTTGCCCATGGCTTTTAGCTGTGCTTATTTGTATGGTGTGTGGTAGAGATGCAGGGTATGCAAATGAACTTAATTAGGGAGATGGGGGTTTGTTTTTACATGACATAAAATGGAACATGTCCCAGTCCAAGAAGATGGTTGTATCATCATTGGCACCTACATAGTATGGCAGCAGTGTGTACAAGCTAATGGGCAACACAAGTATTGGACTGCTGCCCCTCTACATATCCACTTACATATCACACAAACAGTACAGCTATAGACTACGATCTCAAAATTACATCACTCTGTCCGTCCCCTCAGTACGCACGGTGCTTGGGAAAAAAGCCATATCATACTCTGCCCCCTTGACCTGGAACACACTTCAGCAGGAACTTAAGCTGACCAGTTTGATACCCATCACGGATTTTAAACTCATTTTAAAAAAGCTGGAGAAATCTTCTGTGGGTGTTTGCACCTGCTATATCTGACTACTCTATATGGATTTCAATGACTACTTTTTTTACGATGTTGTATTTTAGTGTTGCCTCTGTGTTTAGTGTCCTTTCTGTCTGTAACTTTGTGTGGTAGTGTTACCACTGAACAGGTCTCTCTTGAAAATGAGACCATTTTACACCTGTATAAATAAAGGCTAAATTAAAATTGAATTAGAAACCTTTAATTTAACTTAAGATAGTGTCTCTTACGTAGAGAAATGATGGTGTACAGCCCAAATGTCACATATTAGATTTTCCAAGTGCAGCTTAGTCGAGCAACACTAAAATACAGACCATGTGTGTCTTTTTCTGTATATATCGGCACAGTTGGAAATCATGGCAGCTGCCCGGCAGTAAACAGGCCTCAGGGAAGACATGAAGGCTTGTGCTGTTAACGAAGCTGTATTATGGACTACATCAGTCGTCTAGACATAGGTGTGTTGAAGCATGAAGCTGGTATTGATGGCATTGGATCGTGTAAACCAGGGGTCGGCAACCTTTTTGATATGAAGTGCCATTTAAAAAAAAAAGAAATTATCAGCGTGCCAACGATCGAGAATTATCAACGTGGGGGGGG